GCATAGCAATGAGCAGTAATAGATAGATATGAATAGATTGAGAAAGAAAGATAAATAGATATAAATTAGAGATACATATGAGTAAATCGGGATAGATAGATGAATAAATAGATGCGAGCATAGATAGATAGATAGATAGATAGATAGATAGATAGATAGATAGATAGATAGATAGATAAAAACGGCCTCTACAACGTCTCTGTTAAGTCACACACGTGTATGTAGGGACCCCATTTCATACGTGGATTGCAATACCGCTCACCTCCCCCTACAGACTGGCCAATAGTAACTGACGTAAGTACTGGTGTGTAATCAAATGCAAAATTAAGGAGGAAGTATTCATATCTTATTATTCATTAATCAGCACGCGTTATCATTTACTGTCCCCCCCTGTACTTCATCACAAGTGCATGTAGCAACGTTTCGTTCGTCTTTGGCTATTCATGAGACATGGCTCTCGATACACCACGAGGTAGAATCTCAACAGTACTACGCAAGAATTTCTCTTATTCAGTGAATTGTTAGACCAGCAAATTTACGCATTCAGGTTTATTATTGCTTCAGTAGAGTAGCCTTTCTTTTATTTCAAGAGATAACAGGTTTGGTATTTTAACCTTATAAGAGCCGCAAGATCCGACAATAAATTCTAACAATAGTTTTGTATATTCAAATCACTGCATAGAATTCAAAATGAATTTCGTCCTTTCAACCTTTCAAGAAAGCTACGTAATTGTATTGTCTACAGAGCTGAATAACGAAAATACAATAGATAACAAAGGTATGTTGTGCAATATTTGGTCTAGACACATCGTGTTGATTTTAGAGATTCGAACTGCTTCATTGTTCGGAAGAAAATGAATGCTGCTTTTATTTTCTTTACAAGAAATGTTTCCCCAGCTGCGTTTAACACTCGTTAACATTTAGCAGAGGCAGCATTTGTAAATAATTTCGTTTTTTTTTTTTTTGTTTTTTTTTAATCATTTCACCCCAAGTAAGGAGGTAATGCCACTATCACGCAGCTGGATTGTACCACATAGACATCTCTTGTTTGTGTCGTTTTGGGGGAACTTTTTGCCCTTTCATTATGGTTCCTAAGCGTAAGGCAGACTTGTGGGTGCTTATGTGAGTTCCAACCTACGTCGAAAACCAGGTTACGTTGCGCCGTAGAAACGGATCTCCGACGTAAGTCGAGGACCCAGTGTACTTGACTTCTCATGTTATCATTTAACTTTACAAGAGCCATATCAGACGTAAAATAGTGTACTGTTGTCATATTTGGGTAAGAACGGCCCAGACCTCACTTTCTAGTCTTGATAGAGTTCAAAAGCCTCTCCGACCCCTTGTTGGAGAAAAATTATTTCCCAACTTCTAATCTCTCTCTCTCTCTCTCTCTCTCTCTCTCTCTCTCTCTCTCTCTCTTGCACAGGCGGGATGTGGCGAGTCTCTCTCTATCGCTACTACCATGGAAAGTGCTCGGACGAACTACATTCCTTAGTTCTGCCAGGTCTAACCTGCAAGGCTAGGACCCACCATACCATTTACATCGTAGCGAGCCACCCACATTCCCACCGTATTCCATCGGCGAGAAGTAAGTTCCACTCAAACAGCTTCTTTCTGCGAACCATTGGTCTGTGGAACAGACTCCCAAGAGAGTGTTTCTCCAATCACTACATTCTCAACCTGTTCAAGTCTAGATTTAGCCGTTATCTTCCACTCTTATCCATATAAACTATCCCTTAACGTAACCCTCTACCTCGAGTGGCCCCGGGCCTTGTACAGAGTAAACCTTACCGTTAAAAAAAGGCAGAAGATGGCGATTGATGCTGCATTTAAATTTTTGAAGATTGTAGTTATCAGGAAAGTAAGGAAACAGAAGGGGGTTCCACATGCGTGAAATGCGAGAAAGGAAACTGTTAGAGTAGAAGTAGCGGTTTTTATTTAGCTATTTCAACAGTAAAAGAGTAGGACGTAGTTGCTATTATAGTAGAACGCTTAAATTCATTTAGTCGGGTCACCGGGAAAAAAAGCTCGTCAGATCTTTTGCCATGAAAATATTTGCAGAAATGACAGAGGGAAGCCACATCAAGTCGATGAGAAATTGACTAAAGTAGAGATGTCGGGTCAGAATAAAGCTGCGTATAACCTACCTCACCAGTTTGTGTAAATGGTTGTTAGAATAAAGTTTAGGAGAGGTAGCAAAAATACAACATTTACTAAGAGCTACAAAAGACAGAAAATTGTGGAGAGCCATGATCGTCCACATCCTAAAGGGACATGACACATAGAAGAAGAAGATAAATGCCAAGCCTATGAACAGAGAAAATTGCCAAAAAAGTTCTCTTCTGTAAAATTTTTATATTAAAGACATTTTCAGGAAGATATCTATTTTCTGAAGTTCTTCATGTCATTATGTTAAATTTCCGTCTCTAGACGTTGTTCCAAATAGCTGAACACGCGAGAAACATTTGAGTAATTTTCTAATGTCTATATTAATAATAACTAGCAGCATGGCCAGGCGTTGCCCGTGTTTGATTCAAAAATCGTATGACTCATACAGCAATCACTATCACTTGACTTAAAATATTTTCCCCTTCCTTGCCTTTAAAGAAGTGCCCTTTGCCGTGCTGATGTTGCTACATGCCTTACTTCTTGTCTATCTCACACTGCGAATTTTTTCTAAGCTCTATACTAAACATTAAATCTGTTACGAAAAAAGAACTAAACAAAATGAACACAAAACCATCAGCTTTAAAAAAGGACTCGTAACTGGAAAAACCGAATGAAAAAAGAATGTTAACAACAAATACTTTTTTCACACCCAACCCAGTTCTGTGGAATCAGAATCAATGTTGAGTTTAAGCAAGCGAATGAGCCAATTGGAGTAAAGTGCTATGCATATTTAAATTTTTCCCACTTGTGACGAATGCAGCTATCGATTTTTTGCATGCTAGCATGCTAGTTAACATTCGTATCAGTCAGCTGTTGGCTCTCACGCTGGCCAATAGAATCTTCCTGCCTATTCGTGGCAGTCACCTATTGGCTCTCACTCTGGCCAGTACAAAATGGCCGCAAACTACATGAAAACTGCCGTAGAAGCATGAATAAATCGATTATTTCCACTATCGATGGGAGTTGGGAAATGCAAAGTCGATCTTGGCCTTCCTGCTAACTTGGAGCATGTGCATGTAAATTTTGGTACAAATCCGTCGAAAATTGCCGCCGTGCATTCGCTACACACACACACACAAACACACATACACACATCCTGGCTTTTATAGATAGAGATACAAAAATTAATTTAATACTATTTTTTCACGTGTTTAAATAATTCGGTATGGTTTTAAGAAGATCTAATTAAACAGATTATTTTGACGTATTTAGAAATTTTTTAATGTTCCTTTCATTTCTGTTCCGCAAATTTGTAGTAATGTGAAATATCAGACGACAACGATGCTTATTATTACAGTTGTTTCTTTTTAATTATTTCACTCAAAGCAAGGCAACAAAGTCGCGAACACGCTTCCTGAGTATGAAAGAATATAAGAAAAATATTAATAACGAGCGCGAACAATAAAAGAATATAAATTAAGAAGACAGTAGATAACGATTGACATTGCATTTAAATGTTTGGAGATCAAACATGACTGGAAAGCATGGAACCGGAAGAGAGTTTCACAAGCGAGAAGTGTGAGAAATGAAACTGGGAAAGAACTTACGGTTACATGTAGCAATTTCAGCTATAAAATGATGAGATCGTACTGCCAATCTAGCGATGTGCACAAATTCAATTTATAGAGTCTAGGTACCATGAATGAGAATTCATCAGAACAATTATCATGAAGGAATTTATAACAAAATAATAAAAAAAAAAAAGATACAGGGAAACTACATAACGGCGTTAGGAATGTGATTGAAGCCGAAATGTCAAGTCAGGACAAATAACATTGCAGTTTGGATTTTATGAAGGATCTCTAAACATATAGCAAAAGAATAAGACCCTATGTAGCAGCAATATTGTTATTTTAATACGTTCTTTCTTTTCTTTTTCTCCTCAAATATTTTATTGAGTTTTTTACGCGCCTAATCTTAATTAACTCTTGCTTCAAATCGCCATTAGGCATTTTCATACAGTAAAACCTTGAACCAGGATTATCACCGTGTTATATATTTTCCTAAAATAAGATTTGTAATCAGGGTTACCTTCTTGCTCTATCCCTTCATGCAGTAGGACGTTGAACCAGGATTATCACCGTGTTTATATATATATATTCATAAAATAAAGCTTTGAAGCAGAGTTACCCCTTCATGCTGTAAAATGTTGAACCCGCGTCAGCAATCTCTTATTATCTGTTCTATCATTTGGGGTCAAGAATATGTCAACTGCATTCTATGCGCAGGGGTGAACCTCCCTGCAAAAACGAAAAAAAACAACCCCAAACAACAACAACAACAAACAGGGCCATCTGTTTTCCGTGCCTATGCTTACCATTTTAAGTCTCGTGCAAACCGGGCTTTTTTTGTCTTTCTTATTAACTTAAACCAAACATGTCTATCGTTTTATTCTTGTACAAAACAAACTGTCAATATTTTTTATTCTCCTGTAAATCAAAGCTATATCTCTGTTTTGAGACTCGTGCAGACAGGGCTTATATCTACCTGTCAATTGATTAGAAGATGTAAAACGATAAAAAAAAACAAAAAAAAAACAAAAAAAAAACAATATATTCAAATAGACGTTAAAATATACTACAGTAAAATTGTATCGTAAATCCGAAAGATAGAAAAAAGAAGGAAAAGGAAAAAGGAAAAGGATATACCAAGAATGGTGGAGACATGGTTGGCAAATCTTCTTTTATCACAATGTGGAGTATTTAATAACAAAGATGATGGAAGCAAAAACAAAATGAAAAAGTATCTAAATGAAATTGGCTGGATTATATACCCCAAACACACACACACACACACACACACACACACACACACACACACACACACACACACACACACAAATATTTCTCATTTTCTCTCATTTTTGCGCATGCGTTGTTGCATTAACGTAAACAAACCTAGTCCGATGAAGTCTTAAAGGACAGAACGCGTCACACGATAAGTTTCTCCACTTTGTTCCTGGTCAATCCAAATTCGTATATAACTATATTAGATATACTACAACATGCCTAACCATAGCTCAATCAGGTCTCATTTAAATACACATGGAGACCTACCAAACTCTATCAGCAACATACTCGTTGATAATATAAATATAATAGCCTTTGCCACGTGTAAAAAAAGGCTAAAAATAATGAAAGCATTATTAATAAAAAAAGAAAAAAACCAACAGTCAGTAATATCAACTATGAATACGGCCGCAATATGCTGACCGTCTTTGGAAAATAAAACATTCCTATAACCTATAAATACATAAAACAACCCATAGATTCAGTTAAAATTAAAAATAAAATTCATTATTGATAACGGCTAAAGGTATAGCCGAAAGCGTGTGGGCATATAAAACATTTCAATAATTTTATATATATTTTACGTCCAGAAAAGAAAAGAAAATTATAAAAACATAAGAAAAATTATATAAAAAAACTTAACCACAGTACCTTGTCAGTTATTTTCAGCCCCAAAACAGAATTATATATATATATATATATATATATATATATATTAAACCTAGAGAGTCAGACAAAACTACCAAGGTTTCACCTAAGCGGATCGTCAGGGAAGGCCGGCTAAGAAGGTAAAAAAAGAGAACGGAATATATAGTCAATAAACAAAAAACCATAAGCACGTGACCAAACAAACAAAAAAACAAACAACCAAGAGGGTTGGGGAATACCGTTTATTCAAAATTGACGAAAGAGGGTGGGGGTTAAAAAAGAAAAACACGGATCAACAGGTTTAACTAGCTCTGCTCTACTCATTGTATTGAGCACTTTTTTTTAGTTGTTTTGGGTACTCGCATCGGGTTTTTTCTTTTGGCCTTGAACTCGTATGCTGGACGATTATTTTCGTTTAACGTACATGTTCTTGGTTCTTTCTTTTTTTATACCTTTTTTATACCTTTTTTTCCCTTTGGTATTGGCTTGTTTATTTGCAAATCAATACACTGAAGGTTTTCCAAGCGAGTATAGTTTCTATTAATAATAATAATAATAATAATAATAATAATAATAATAATAATAATAGATAGATAGATAGATAGATAGATAGATAGATAGATAGATAATATTAGTGGAAAATATACATACATTTGCAAAATATATAAATACCCATACATGTATATTTTCAGAAAAAATTCAAGAGGAAGAATCCAGGTAGAACTCAATGTCTAGGACAGAGTAAGGATATAATAAAAAGGCTTAAACACTAATATTCCATGGTCATAATTTATTCCATTGGAATCGTAAATACGATCCAATTCATCAGAGCTACAAATATAAATTGTGAATTTGTAGGTCTGATGAATTGGATCGTATTTACGATTCCAATGGAATAAATTATGACCATGGAATATTAGTGTTTAAGCCTTTTTATGATGGACCTTGTATGACTCCTGTTTGTGTGTTTAGTAAAAATATCCAGATATACATAACAACAAAGTGAGACATTTATACTACATAAATATAGAAGCATTTATTATCGTAGGTTTGGTGGTTTTGGTAGATAAAAGTTTTCATAATGTTGTTGTTAAATGTTCTGATATTTGGATTGTCTTGTTGAATGAGTGAATTATTTTGTTGTGATAAGCCTATTATTAAAAGGTCATATTCAATATGAGGAAGTAATATTTGAGTAAAACTTATCTTTAGTCTTCATTCCCGGAGAGGTTCATTTTCACATGTTCTCATGGGGAGAGATTGTTGAAAAGATACTAGATTCTATTTTTTTTTTTTTTTTTTTTTGCCAGTAGGGCGTTTTCTTTCTTTTTTTTTTACGAGGGAATCATGGATAAATTAGTGATTTTTTATATTTATCGTGATCGTAAGATCACAACACAACACAACACAACTATTATTTACCTTCCTCTCTGCCAGGAGCTGATGGCTTAGGGGGAAAATCTCCGACTGATGCCAGATCAGTCGAGATTCGATCCTGGTTTGAGACAATCGGATGTCTAGCCACACTTATGAACTGTGATACAGCGAAACAATCAGTCTGTGGATGACAATATATACGCCCCCCGAAAAAATAAAATTCAACCGAGCACTTTAGAGGATAAGCGCGAATTTGTAAACAGTGACTGCTACTGCTGATAATGCAAAGCTCTTCTATGAATCGAGCACTCTGAGCCACTGGCGTGTTTACTCAAAAATAAATAATTCGCTTCTAATAGGAACTAATAGCTTAGGGAAAAAATCTCCGACTGATGCTAAATCAGTCGGGTTTCGATCTTGGCTTGAGGCAATCGGATGCGAAACGATCTGTCTATGGATGACAATATATATATATATATGAGATAACGATATATATTTTTGTATATCAAGAACAAAATTGGGGGAAAATGTATGTCAAAATAGAAAAAGTTTTCTTGTGACGCGTTTCGTCCTTTAGGACTTCATCAGACTAAATTTCTTATATTGGTGCGACTACACATGCGCACAAATTAGAGATACTGGGAATTTTAATTTTTTTTTTCATGTAAAGAAAATGAATGTAAATGAAATCGGCTAGATTAAAAAAAAAATTAAATTTAAAGTTCCCAGCACCCCTCGATCGTGCGCATGTGTAGTCGTACCAACATAACAAATTCAGTCCAATATATATATATATGTGTGTGTGTGTGTGTGTGTGTGTGTGTGTGTGTGAGTGAGAGAGAGAGAGAGAGAGAGAGAGGGAAAGAATGATACATAGAAAGGTATGGAAGCACGTCGTGTTGATTCTTTTGTCATCTCCTTGACATTTCAAAACACAAGCTCACCATTCTTATTATATCCAACGAAATGTTTACATCTGGCAATTGTATCCCTCACATCCACAGCCAAGCTTTTGCATGACCCCTGTAACTTATTCCTGCGAATAATATTTTGCTCCTGTCTATCCATCCGAGCAGAATACCTCTTTAACGGAGAGATTATTATTTTCTTTTTCTTTCTTTCGGTTTAAATATCAAACTTGCGTCCTCGAGGCAAACAGTTATTACGCCAACTCTTCAGGCATGTAATTGAAAAAAAAACAATTAAATAAAATTGAAATTGTCTGGAACTGGTTGAACACATGTTTGATTACATCCAATCTTTTGCAGAAGGTTTCAATCAAATTGTTCATAGGGGTTGGAAAGTTTTAACAACAATGGCCATCAACTGCTCTTTTACTATTTCTGGAGGCTATCATAAAAAAAAGATAAAAAAAAACAAACAATAATGGAAGACGCAACGTCGAAATCTATCACATCTCGACTGCTACGTTCATGGCAAAGGTTCAGGCAAGCTTCATTCTTTAGTGCCAACGGTTCAAAGCTTTACATTTACATAATAGTGCACATTGGTTTTTCACTTTTTTTTAGAAATTCAACATTGCACTCAGTTTGAAAGCTGGTGATTGATAAGATAAATATTAGAATTAAAAATGAGATTCATTGCTTTTACTAATTTTTGAGCATTTAGTTTTAAAGATCGTCTTAAAAATATCCAAAAATACCTAATTTTCGGAGGTTTTTGCTTACAAACTGATTTCAGAATTTTACTATTTCAAGAATAAACGCAAATAAAATTGATATATTTTATATTAGATACATTGAATGGAAAATATATTCAAACGAGATTTCTAATTATGAATCACCACATCAAAATATGAATTTTTTTTTACTGTATTCAATAAGTAAAAACTCTGTAAAAAATTGTAAAATATTACAAAAAAGACTACTCAAAGAATAAGATTTGTTAGATAATAATTAATAACAACAAAAAATAGATAAACGTATATATAACAACATAATACTCCTGGGTACACATTATCAGACAAGATGTTTTAATATACATTGTTTATTGAAAATTACACTCAAACTACTGCACTGTAAAACATATTACATCATAATATGGCTAAATTATTCAGTATAATATCCCTTTGGAACAAATGAAAGTCTTATTTGATGGCACAATGATTTAGTAATATTGTTCTTGTGCCATGAATCTTGTCCATATACAATTTGTAAAGTTTCAGTAAATTATAAATTTTATAAAACTGTGCTTTCACTGATCACCGGAATTAAATTCCAACGATTTTGAAACTAAACTTAATCTTCAAACTAATATCCTCAAAAATGATAACGATTTGGGGAAAAATATTTTGTCTCCTTATTTACCATGTCCAACCCCAATTTTCAAATTGAGTGCAATACCACGATTCTAAAATCGACTTGCTCTATTACACAGTCCTCTGAGGGAAGGCTTATTCTCCACTCTGTAGCTTCTTTCTCACAGACACAACATTGCAAACCTATCATTACTCTATCGCTATTTCCATGGCAAATGTACAGATGAGAACTGTTCTTTCGTTTCACTAGTTCAGAATTTACATCACAAACCCTCCATGCTTGAATCACGTTCTCTACATACTCCTGTGTGTGGTGTAATGGATTTCGGGTCGGAATGAGAAAATCTGAGACGAGTTCGAATTCCAGTCGAGTTCGTTACGCACAAATAGCCTTGGGTAAGGTAGGAATCCATCTCTTCTCCCCCCCCCCGCAAAAAATTGAACTCTATAAGCTTGATTGGCAACTTGTCAAGGGAGAAGGAAAACTCAAAATTGAAATCAGCCTGGAGAGAGTTGTGCTCCGTCAGTCTATCTAGCCCAAGACACACTACTGCTGCTACGGCTGTAATACATGTACCGGACTCGTCATCGTGATGTCATCGGGATCGTGAACCACATTAATCAACACAGTATTGGGCTGTTTGGTGAACTCGTTACATTCAGTTACGCGCAAATAAAAAAAAGAATTGAAAGAGGACGAAGAGTTGCAACAGAGGAGAGTTTCAAATAACTTATTCATTTTTTTATAAGTATTTTTAGAAACTGTTGTGTTGCTATGTGTTGTAGCCTTGTTAGGGTCTGAAATAAAGACACAAGAGAGGAATTGCGATAAACAAATATATTAACAGAAACAGTAATACAAACATATACAAACGAGTGTGTTACAGCAAGAATGTTCGGTCCGACTGTCAGAGCTGACTGCTGGAAACTTCCCTCTCCAAAAGGTAGTACCTGCTCCTATTTATAGCTGGGAGAGTCCACGCGTACGTGGGTAAATTATCACAACACTAAGTGTATGGTTATTTGTGTCAAATAAAAACGAACACACGATTCAAGCCTTTATACATTTTATGTACTACCGGATAACCATAGATGTAAAACATGACCAGTGACTACCGGTAGATTGATAGTTCGATATATGACATGTGAGGATGCGTGACCGCTATCTTGAAATCCCATTTCTTTTCTATTGTCCTAGAGAATTCCAATTAAGTGGCATCATTTGGTTCCCATTTAGGGCGCGAGTTAAGTCCTTGTATTACGTCCGTCCTGACAGAAACGCTAAAGAAAACAACAGGATTCTTACTCAAAGTGAAACTTGTAAATATACATACGTTTATTTTCAATGACAAAATATTTTTACGATATACAAATTGCACAAAATACAATATAGGTCTTACACAAAATTTCCCTTGTTCACCTTAAACTATGAAAGCGGTTTAACAGTTCTTTCAAAATACAAATATGTTTTCTCTTAAAAACAAGAGTATGCAAAACAAATGTTAGCAACAAAGGAATTTTAAGAATTTTCTTTAAGAGAAACAGTTTATATGAATCATTTCTTAGCAACAAAAGAAATTAACTTACTTCGAAAAGTTCGCCATTAAAAATACCGAAGATTCAAAGGTTGAAATCAAAATTGAAGTGGCGGGGGATGAGAAAAGGCTACCTCAAGCGAAGCTACTTTTCTAGATCCTTTGGACGGATATTCAGATTTTTGGAACAGGCGTTTTCAAATATGAGTTAAACTCTCACAAGTTTAGAAAAGACATTCTAATGAGTGAAACCTTGGGTAAGGAAGGAGTTTATAAAAGTCATTCGTACATGAAGTAAAACTCATATACTTAGAAAAGACATTCGCATATCAAATTTAAAAGATTCTTTCTTCTTTTTCCTTCTTTTTATTTTTTCTTCTTTAACAGAAGGAGTAGTAGTAGCCTTTTATCCTCTCAGGTTACCGCGTTTTCACCTGCGTACGAATCCTTTCCCCTACATGACTGTCTTTACACAATAAATATGGTCAATCATTTTAGCAGCAGCGGACTTTACATGCCTGGTACCTTCAATCCTTTCTCCGCCTGAGTGATCTGTTCCTTTCTCTCTAAATCACAGCTTCTACGCTCCCGGTGAGGTTTAATCCTTTCTGACTTTGCAGTAAAATTTTTCCCTCTTATATAGCAAACAAGTGGATCAAAACCGGCTCATAAACCAACTTCTTAAGGGACGTAAACATTTTATCCCCACTTAGTTAAAACATTCAAGAGTCACTGTCCAATCAAAACACGCCCGTTTTGAATTCAAATTTAGCTGATTTTTGATAACGTCAAAGCCGATCCCATCCTGTAAAAGGTTGCCACAAAAAGTTTAAAACGTCTTACCTAATTCTGGCGGGTTTTATAACATCAATTTGCAGCTTCTGCTTTTTTTAATTTTATATCATTACACATCAATTTTTATTAATGTTATTTTAATAAAACATCTGGCTTCATTTTGGTGGGTTTTTTTCCCCCAAATAAACCATTTTAATAACATTCTAATTTTCTTAATTAGTTTCTCATACAATTCAATAAAATCCGTTTTATTGTAAATTCATTTTCCATATTACTTTTTACACAATTCTGGCATTTTATTTATTTATTTTTTTACGCATAATTTTAATATTATCGCTTTTTCATAAAAAAATATTTTTCATAAATATCTTTGAGAAATGTATGAATGTATCTCTTCTCCTCCTAGCTATGGGTTAAATAGCAAGGCAGATTAGGTTCTAGCCTTGGTTTACAACCATTCTAGAGATAGTGACTCTGTAACCCACACCCGATACACATTATTCTTTCCTGTCTCTTCTCTTCTTCCTCGGTCGCTTGCTCCGCTAGCTTTTTTTGAATAACACCAACCTTACGGGTCATCCAACTTCCCATTCCCTCTTCGGTTTGAGGCCGTTGTGCCGTCTCGATAGGGTTGATTCAGGTTTCCCAAAATCTTACGATATTGAGATTAACGGCAAAGTTTAGTCATGGACCAAATATGTACGTTGTGTACCACAGGCAAGATTGCGTAATTCCTATCTGTGGCCGTGATAAATTTTGTCTCTCTGCATCCAAGGACAACGTTGGAAATAAAGGCTGGAATAAGAACGCCTTTTTCAAAAGGCACAACACTGTTGATGACTCTAACAACAGGTTTATTGAACATAAAACGAAAAAATAAACTAAAAAGAGAATATATGATGAAAAAAAGCGCAAAATATAAGAACACTATTTACATTGTTCGGACTATCGCACTTATCTTTGTTGCCATATTTATCACAACATTCCGGCCTTCTTCAGGTGGTTTTTTAAATGTGAGCCACACCACTCTGTTCGATGTTTTTCGAATCCTCTCTGACGCTCAAGAAACGTTGGCAATCTTCGGCAATTTGCACCGCCTCTTTAAATTTCAAGTCGCTGGTTTTCTTAAGCAAAATATAGTTAATAAATTTAGTATATTCTACTGTGACTAATATCCTGAGAAGTAGGCGAACCTTTTTATGGTCAGCCCAACTTGCACAATCCGTACTGTATAAGTCCTCGTAACGTTTAAAGTACGAAGTGATTGTATTTTCTTCTTCAGGTGCAAACGTGAAGTTTTCAATAGCACTCCATATAGCGTTTTGAGAGTTTTCACTGTCCTCATTTTGGCTTTTGATGGATATATTATACAAGTGCCTTTGCTCATTCTGTGTTTGAAGGATCATTTCTTCGAGTTTCTCTTGTCTAACCTGAATTTCTAGGAGCAATTCCTCAAATTTCTTCTGGTATTCCGCTTGTTCCCGTTGGAATTTCTTTTGTCTTTCTTGCTATTTCTGTTCCAACAGTAGTTGTTGTTCCTGTTGGCGAAAACAATAAGTCTGTTTGATTTGTACAGTTCTTTTACTGGCTTGTTGGAATGGAAAAAATAACAAGTTTCACCAAACTTCTTCCCAACCACTGAATTGAACTTGTAGAAATCCTATTGTTTTGAAGAGTTTCTCTTTTTTTTCAGTCATTGTTGTAATTAACACTGGATACCCTTTTGTCGTAGAGTTTGATTAGGATTCCTTTCTTCACCACTGGCAAAAAAATTGTATGATTTAACGTGAAGTCCGTTTCTTCGAATCCTTCGTCGCCAAGATGTTGTGACCAAGTAAATGGTTAAAGAAATAACAAAACAAGTGTTGCAGATGTATCATATATTAAACAATAAGTACAACAGAAGAGTATTACACGACTAGTGAGTGTGTGTCGGTTGACCCAGCGTTCAATCTATTCGACTGTTCCCCCAAGGTCTTATCTCCTACTAATCTTATAGTAGGCGGAAGAGTCCAACATGTACTCTTTAGAGGGAGGACACCACAATATATATATTTGTACATATATATACATATATATGTACAAACATATATTGTTAAATATAACAGACAACGAATGTCTATTATGTTTGATCATCAGCCGTTCTAAGCTCCGTATATTTGCTTTGATTTAACAGTCACGGAATAACAGACGCAGGTCATAAATTCATATTGCAGTTCTATGACGTCATACCACGTGAGAGAACGAAATATTAACAACAAAACCATATGTCTATATGCAATGTAATGTGTTGGGACTAGTTTTAAATGTAGTTTTGTTGAGTGTGGGTGACTTTTGTTTTAATATAGATGGCCTCCAATATCTGAAGGTTCTTTTTACTGTATGTATGTGTGTGTATTATTATCTTATCAACTAATATCCGTCGAATTTTATGCATATGGCTATGTTTTTCTAAGAAATGTTGTTTAATAAAACTTTCTGATCTTATTCTATTAAACAACATGAATTTACGACCTTCGACTTCTATTCCGCAACCGTTATCATGACATGGCAACCTCCTAGTCAACATAACAGAATATCATCTTTGATGGTGAATATCTTTGTTTAAATCTCCATACAAGTATTCTGAAGATGGCTCATGGGAGCCGAAAGCTTAGATCAATGAACAACATAATAAAAAACTATTCAAATGTTGAACAATTTTTCATCTTTATTTTCTCCCGAAATTAAAGCAATTTAGAACGGCTCATGATCAAACATAATAGACATTCGTTGTTTGTTATATTTAACAGTATATATTTGAATAATGCTCTGCTGCCCCAATACACTATATATATATAAGGCGTTTACTTTGTATTTATCATGTAATTTTAGATTAATTATCTCCCCCTTACTTCAATTTCTCAAAGATCAAGCTGCTAACATCCTATAAAAACACCCACCACCGTGTTATAAGTGGGTTTATGTGATATTTTGAAACTAAAAGTGAGTAATATGTGTTTCAGTTCAGATTAATTACACTTTAAATCAGCTAATTTTCTTTCTCAAATAACGTTTCAGAAAAGTATATTTTATTTTTGAATGAATTTTTTTTAATAGAGAGAATTGTAGCGGACCGTGGCGGTGATGAGTATGTCAAACACACGTGGGTAGAAATTTCCTGCTAGCCGGTCCAACTACATAAGAAAGTTGGACTTTAATTAAATCCAAAGAAAACAAACAAGATCGATAAATATATGTAAACAAATATATGTATTAGCAACAAGTACAAGTTACAAGTACATGGACAGTTACATTGACAGAGTGCGTGTGGTGAATATTATGTGTGTGTCTTGTGGTGAGTGTTCGTACGTACGTGTATTGTTCTTAGCGTGTTCCCAGAATTTGGGAAACGCTGTATCTGTGAGCG